TTTTGGGATCTCTAGCATTTTTGTTTTGTGTTTTAGGTGTGTTGTTTTTTTTGAGTTGGAGTCACTGCTGTGTGGCTTACACAGTAGTAACTGTTGTGCGGCTTATAAGAATTATTTCAGATTTTATTTTTCTCATCCAAACCGTTCAATTTTTAAAAAATATTGAGTAGAACATATCTGCAAAAAATCAAGTTGATCGGATATCGATAAACCCTTCATTACTTCACATTTGTATTCAATTTAATACTTAGGCCTCGTTTGGGAACAGGCTAATTTAGTAACTTTTTGGCTATTTGGCTAAAAAGGTAGGTAAAAAAAACTTGTACGTTTGGGATGACTTTTTGGCTAATTACGAAAAGATGTGCAAAAAGTAGAGAGAAAAGAGAATCTTTGACTTTTTGGTATGGGTTGTTGGCTTTTTGGCTAATTTAGTAACTTTTTGACTAATTGGCTAAAATAGCCTCTTGCCAAACGAGGCATTATATATTTATTTTTTATAGATACAAATTCGAATTGATGAAGGGTATATCGATATCCAATCAACTTGATTTTTTTACAGGTATGTTCTACTCGATATTCTTTAAAAATTGAACAGTTTAGATGATGAAAATAAAGTCCGAAATAATTCCCATAAGTCGCACAACAGTCACTGCTGTGCAAGCTGCAGAGCAGTGACCCTGATCACTTTTTTTTAGTGACTTTTTAAATTTTTTGAGTTAAAAAAATTAATAATGTGTTTGAGAAAAACTTTCTTAATAGTTTTTTTTTTTGGTTTTGTTAGTGAATTCTTTTCATTTGGCCGGTATGAACAACAAACAATCTAATTAGAACATTTGGCTTAGTGGTTGTGTAATACCTTTTGTGATAAATAGGGGTGCTAGATAAACTAATGAAACCAAATCGACCGATCAAAGTGGATTGAAATTTCAATTTTCGGTCTGTTTCTCATAATATACAACCTATTTTAGTTTTGAACATTTTTATATCGATACAAACTGAACTAACTAAATATTATATTTAAATACTTTTATTTTTTAGTTATTTGAGCATTGATAAGTGAGTAATATAATACACTATTAAAATTAGGGAGAGAAACATTTATAAAACAACTTTCACACATTTTCTTCATTTATTTTTAATATAAAATTCTACATATTTTCATAAAATCTTTTAAAAATTCAAATAAATCCCTATTCTACAGCAAACTGACTGAACTAATAAAATCGAATCATAATATACGGTCTGTATTAGTTTCTCAACTATCAAAATTGAAAGAATCAATTCGGTGCTAAACTTACCTTCAATATCAACCGAAACGAATCATTTATACCCCTAGTGATAAGGTTCAACTCAGGAGTTTGATACCTTTTATTGTGATGGTTTATTTTCCACCCTCCTTATGGCGTTGTATGTGGTTTGTAGTGGTTGTTGGACTTGGGCATAGTGGGCCTGATGTATTGAAAGTGTTAGACATTATTGACTTTCTAATTATTGTAGGTTAATAATTTATTTGATGATGTAAATATTTCTTATATGTATAATTACTCTCCTATCTATTAATAAAATAAATAAATAAAATAACAACAACAACAACAAACCGTCTGAATTATAGAAAATAAAAACAAAAAGTAATAAATAATCAAGTAGTGTTTGATTTATTAAAATGTGTAGAGAGACCAACCGACCGGTGGTGTTATTTATCCAACCTAAAGTTATCATTTTACCCCCTCCCTCATCCGCATGTTCCGCCATGAAAGTGCATAGAAGGATAATGAAGTCATATCATGTGAGACCACACAAAGACAAAACCCCTTTATTGGCTTCTCTCTCTTCTTATCAAACCAAACAAGATTATTGAATGAATAATTTTACATTTGCCCTAATTTGCCCTTTTAAATAAAATTGTTGCCTTTTCGTTTGTAGATAAACTTTCCTTACCATTGCCTTAAATTATAAAAAAAGAGATGGGTAGTTTTGGTCAATAAGGCATGTGGGTAGGGCATGAATAATATACATTCAAGAAAACTTTCACATCCTAGAAATTTTCAAAGCGTGTGGGCTGTTGTGTTGTGTTCCTCATGAATATTGAAATCAACAATGGTTTTTGACTGTCAATACATATGAATCATACATGAAAGAATTATGGATTGCTTTTCAAAAAAAAGTCCTAACAAAAAGTTCAAAAAAAAAAAAAAAAAAAAAAATTATTCAAGCAATAGCAATTTTGTAATTGTGCTCCATGTATGACTTTTAATAATTATATTTTTGTGTCTTGAATTGGTATTATGCTGTTGATATTTTTTATTATAACTTTTCTATGTACATAAAATTCAAATAATAATCATCATACACAATCTTCTCATATGTGGTGAAATTTACAAATTTAATAAATTCTGTCTCATTTGATAGGATTGTGTTTATGGTAGAATTATGTACACTTAGAATTTTTAATAATGACGTTGTTTTGATTTGCTAATTTGCAAATGATTCCCATTTTTGGAAAAATTATTCAGTAATCTCATATCACTGTGCATCTACGTAGTGCTCCAAACTAATCACGTAAATAAAATTTTTATAAATGGAACATATTGACTCACCTTTATTAGCTAGTTAGGAGACAAAAGACAACCTATATATGTGTAATTTTTCATTTGCCAAAATACTATATAAACAATATTACATGATACTTTAAGATTATCTAATAATTTTACTCATTTCTAAGCATCTTACATTAGATGGTTTCAATCCTTGTATCTTTGTGGTGATTACATGATTTTTAGGCTATTATGTTTAGCAAAAACTTTTTAGGTTAGAATAGTCACAAAAAGATAAAATAGGATAAAAAGCCAATAAGATAAAGAGGTAATTTGAGAAGTTAGCTAAAAGTTAGCTTTTAACTTTTAATTTTTTACACACAAAAAAAGAACAAAAAGCCCAAAAAAAAAAAAAATCAAAAAGTCAATTTTTAACCAACTTCCCAAATCACCCCAAAATGTCACATTTAAACCACAATCATTTTAATTTTTTTCTCACAAAAGTAAAAAATTCAAAAAGTTTCTCTCAAACGAGACTTTTTAGTCTCATATAAAATAATTAAAAAGTCAAAAAATCAACTCATATCTCAAACGAAGGTTTAATATATTTTCTCTAGTTACTTATACGTGTAAAAATAAAAAATAAAAAATAAATAAAAAGTCAAAAAAAATTATCTGAGAGAAGTGATCACTGCTGTCGAGATATATTTGTGAAAATCCTGTGGTTTTTCTAGCGTTTTTCTCGGCTTTCTCATGGAAGCGAAAAAAAAAGAAAGAAATAAATAAATAAAAAAGAAAAGAAAAAAGGAATAGCAAAGTTAGTTATTTTGTAAATATAAATCAACTATATAATTATTGAAATTTAATTCATTTAATTTTTTATATATATAATTTACTTAATAAGTCATACAAAATGAAAAATTTTGATCATTAAAATTAATCTAAAGTAGGCTGATAACTAGAGAAATTATAACCTCAAATTCAAAACTTGACCAGGACACATGTGTCTTTCATTCAAATTCTATAAAGTATTCCACGTATGTAGAATTTGTTTTCCTTTTACTTAATTTAATTTTTATATTAAAAGACTAAGACTATTTAATTTTTACATTAAAAGACTACTGCTATAAATCACTAGGTAAAATTTAATGGTGAGTCCCATTATTTATAGATATGACAAGTCCTACAGATACAATTCATTTGTTACACAGATTCACATGAGGGGAAAAAAAGAGAAAAAAAAAAAAAGAGTAAAATTCACCTAGGAACAAATATTATATTTATTACGTATATATTTATAAAAAAATAGTTGAGAACATCAAGGCCATGTTTGTTTGGGTGGACATGAGCTTGGGATTGGACTAATAGTCCAATAAAATTATTAATCCAATGTTTGGTTAAATAATTGAAGTACGGATTCATTATTTTAAACTTGACTATTAGTTAAGAGAGGATACATAATCCAACGGATTCGTAATCTTAGGACTATTAGTCATGAGAATGCTAATCTAGTCCGCCCAAACAAAGGAACAAATATTATATTTATTACGTATATATTTATAAAAAAATAGTTGAGAACATCAAGGCCATGTTTGTTTGGGTGGACATGAGCTTGGGATTGGACTAATAGTCCAATAAAATTATTAATCCAATGTTTGGTTAAACAATTGAAGTACGGATTCATTATTTTAAACTTGACTATTAGTTAAGAGATGATACATAATCCAACGGATTCGTAATCTTAGGACTATTAGTCATGGGAATGCTAATCTAGTCCGCCCAAACAAACATGGTGCAAAAGTGGTGTTCTAATAGCACTACTAATAATATGGCAGTGGGCTATGCCTTCTTTTTTTTTTTGCATTCCCAATGCATTAATATTATTAGTATTTTTTTTTAGTGGTATGAATCATTATTGATATTTTTATCAGCAATACCTAGAAAAAATAATAAAAAATTTGTTAAAATTTCAAATGTTTGAGTTAGTTTCATTTTGGTATATGACTCACGTCACACTAAAATTAAATCTCTAACATTATATATACTCAAGTTCAGAGCACTTTTTTAAATGGAAAATGATTTGGAGTCCTAAAAATACCCAATAATTCCCCTAATTTCCAATTTTGGCAACTTTTTCCTTTTTTTTTTAACTTGATATGGAAATTAGGGGGATTAGGGGGTATTTTTAGGGGATGTAGCAATACCCTTTTTAAATATGTTTTGCAATTCTTGTATTTATACAGAAATCAGAATCTAAATATTTTTTTTAGCAGGGAGCATTTATGTCTTTTTTTTTTCTTTTTTGTTCTCTTTATTTGTTCGTATGAACGAAGCATTTGTGTCTTTATTCTCTTTTGTAGTGTGTGGAGTAGCAATTGTATAATTCAAGTGGTGTAAAAATCTCTCTCTCTCTCTCACCTTCACGGCGTCATGGCGTTTGGGGACTATAAATTCACACCCTCCTCCTCACTCATCCCCCATGGTCAATCTCTCCTAACCTCCTCCTCCTCCTCCTCCTCCTCCTCTCTCTCTCTCTCTCTCTCTCTCTCTCTCTCATAGTCTACAAAACAGAGTCCCCTGTTTTTATCCTCTGGCTCTGTTTCACAACATTGGTAGAAGAAAAATATTCAAACTCCTCAGCTCACTCATCACCATGTCCACCATTGTCTGTCAAGGCCTCCAATCTTGTCTTGAGTCCCAACTCACAGAGACAAGAACACTCAGGCTCAAACTGGCTCTCCCAAAACCATCCTTCTTCGAAACAATCGAACCACCAATCACACAAAGCTCATATCTCCATCAGCCTATGCTCAACCCATCTTCATCTTCCTCCATTCTCAGCACCAAAAGCTTAGACCTCTGTACAGAGAATTTGGGTAGCGAAACTGGCACAGACACCATTGAAATCAGCAAATTTTGTCTGTATTACCCGGCTTCGAATGACAAACAAGAAGCTAAAACAGGGGTGGAATCGAAGTCATCCAAAAACATGAAATTTAAGAAAGTTGGGAATTTGAATTCCCGGGATTTTCCTCCACCATTGACAACGATGAACGGTGTGAATTCTCTGCACGTGAGGCCTCACCGGGAAGGCGGTAGATTGGTAATTGCCGCCATGGAGGACCCAAAACAACAGAGGTTTTTTCAGGCTGAGAGAAGCCATGGCCGCCTTAGACTGAGCTTTTGGAAGGACTCGGAAATGGTGGTGGAGGAAAGCGAAGAAGAGAGTGACATGGAAGAGGTTGAAATTGAGGAAGATGGTGAAGAAGAAGAGGTGGGTGAAGAAGAAAGTGATGGGTATGTGAAGGAGGATATGGATGCAAATATCTTGGATGTTGGGGGTGAAATGGGAATTGAGAAGTTTCAATGGTCAAGTAGGTGCAATGAAGGCGTGTGTGGCAATGAAAGTATATCTAATTGGGAGGGAGTTTGGGTGTCCTCTTCTTAAAAATTTTATTTTGATGTTTTAATGTGGTTTTAGTCCAAATATGTGTAAGTTGACTATTCGATTATCAAAAAATATATTTTTAATGGCATGATTCTATCAGAATTTTTGTATTTTGAGATTTTTTTATCATATTGTGCGATTAAAAATGTATTATTTTTCTATTTCAATATATTTTTAGTTATATTTTAAGATTTTTATATTTCAAAAAGAGAAATGAGAGTCTTTGCAGTCCTAGAATCTCAAATTCCTCAATTTTTGTGTTTGTTGTCTACAACTTTTGTCCCTCGATTAAATTTGGAAAAACTGAAAATTAGTGACGACTTCACAAAATATTTACTAATTCATAGAAAAGTTTATAATTTAATTAATTATTAAAGTTGGTAACTTTACTACTAATTTGAAATTGTTTTTGAAAACACTGACTTACAATTTTCCTATTAAATTTCTATCTTCCATTAAATATTTTAATGGTGGGTAGTTATTATGGTTGTGTGGTCATTTGGACAAGGCTTCTCTCTCTGGACTTTACATGACCCTTATGTTTGGTTAGGGACATAACCCTTTGATTACTTTTGAACTTTTGGGTTCTTTGTGTTTCTAGTGTGACGAAAAAAAAGAAGAAGAAGTCATATTCTGGTTAAGTCCTCCAATTGCATATGTGAGAAAGAAAAGAAAAGAAAAGAAAAGAAAAGAATTGAAGTAATCCCTTCAAAATGTGTTTTAATTCAAAAATGTATTATATTATGGTTATTTTGTTTATGAGTTATGCTAAAAAATTAATGCAGAAAGTTTTTATTTTAGCAGATTAATGCAAAAGACTGATTTAGGGGTTGTTTGGGATGACTTAAATAAGTGTATTTTTTTGTCTTTTTATGAAAAGATGTGCAGAAAAGTAGAGAGGTGATGTGATAGAAAAAAATAAAAAGATAAAAAGATGCATTATTTTTGGATTGCCAAACTTGACCTTAATTATTAAAAGAAATATTACTGTCACAATCATAGTCAGGAAATGGAGATGCTGCTGTGCATGTTTTGAGTCTTTGGTTTTTTTTTTTTTTTGATTTTGCTTATTTTATTTTATTTTATTTTTTATGTGTATAAAATAGTATTGGACTTTTAAAAGTATTTCTTGGGACCAAGTTTGGCTGCAGTTTTAATAAATAAAAAATTTTGGGCAAATAACAAAAAAAAAATCTCAGAATTTGACCACGGTAATAAAATAAATCTTGTGGTTTTAATTTTTTTAATTTAAACCCTTATTTTGTATTTTTTAAACCTAAATTATTTGTCTATTTTTATAAAATAAAACCAACAGAAAAAGTGTTTTTTAACCATTAAACTTAATGTTAATGTAGGTATACATAAAATGTCTCAAACATCTTTTTTTTTTTTTTTTGAGTTTAGTGATTAAAATATCATTTTTTCGTTAGTTTTACTTAATATAAATAGGCAAATAATTTAGATTGAAAATAAATCAAAAGCTTAGGGTTTAAATTGAGAAAATTAAAATCTAAAAGCTTATTTTGTTATAAGGGTCAAACCCTAAGTTTTTTTTTTTAATGTAATTTCGCCAAAAAACTTTAACCAAATTATTATTGATTTTCTTATTGGTTGTATTTAAAAAAACAAAACAAAAAAAAAACAAACTAGGCTATGAATTGTTAAAAATTAAATAATGTTCAAAAAGTAAAATTTTAATACACATTTTACATATTCTTACACACTTTTATATATTTATATACATATTTTACATTTTTAATATAATTTATATATATATATTTTAAATATGTATTAAAAATTTAAATATTTCTAACATTATTTGATTTTGAACTAGTACTCAAAGAGGGATTGTAAGCATAATATTTTTTAATAACCAATAAAAAAATCAGTAATATTTTGATCAAAGATTTTTTCTTTAAATAAAGTAAACCAATAAGAAAATTAATGAAATATTTTGCCACAAGAAATATTTTAAAAAGTTTTGGTTTGAGTTTTTTAAATTCACTTTCAGAAAATTGAATTTAATTTTTGTATTTTTTTATTTTCATTGAATTTTTTGAATATTTTAAGCAATTTTTTAATTTTTAGATACATCTAATATAAATATATTTAAAAATTATAATATTTGTGAATCACTAAATACCAAAAATATAAAAATTTAATACATTTTTCGTATTCTTATGTATTTATTGATTTTTTAAAATATTTTTTTACAAATATTTAACTTTTTATATATATATATATATATATATAAGTAAGGTGCATATAAAAAATAAAAAATAAAAAATTTGCTTAAAATTTTAAAAATATTAATTAAAAATTAAAAAAAAAACACGAAAAACACAAAAAAAAAGAAGCAAAATGACACCATACCATGTGCAGCCGTTGCTGCTGTGCTTTATGCACAGCAACATTCCCACTCCCAACCAGTCATATTATTTTATTCATAAATATTGTTTAAAAAAATTAGGGTAATTTACACTCATCTTTCTTAAAGTTTGAAAAAATACAATAAAGCTTAGAATTTTTATATAATTACACTGACTTCTCTTTTAGTAAAATTAAAGAAATCGAAGATTCGAAACTATGATGTGAATTTACAAGGATTAATAAAAATACATATATTTATGTATATATATATATTAGTATAAAAGAAATGATAATATAATTTTTTCATCTGTATAATTAATGAACAGTTGATGAAAATAAACTTATTGTTATGTCAATTAAATTATTAAGAAAATGTAAGAAAATTATATTAAAATTATGAAATTTATTGTATATTTTTTTTTAAATTATAGGGGAGGTATGGATGAGTAGAAATCATCGATGAAACCAGTGCATGTTGTGGGTGTTGATTTTCCGACTACACAATCAAAAGGAACAACTCAGCTAGAGAGCACTGGCAGAATAGATTAAGCCCAAACCTGTCACAGAAATATAAAAATCTAACAGTGGTTCGTCCACCCGGGGGCACTCGACGATCAAGTTAGTAACATATCTCTCAAAGATAACCAATAGTGCTTAACTCACTAGACAGAGCATAAAAAGCATATTTTAGACCCATTGGGGTGCCTCTCCTTTATAGCCAACACAATTCTAGTCCCAATAGAAGCCTAGCTCTAAGGGACTTAGGATTACTGCTAATTTTGGACTCCCAATAGAATTAGGATAAACTCTTTAAGAGTTTTATCTTTACCCAAACTGAAATCTTCTCCCATTCTGGGACTCTTGTCGCTTATCCCAGATTTCGGTATTGTCGCAGATAACCTCGGCTTAGCCAAAATCATCTCAGCATCATGACCAGGACACGTAACACCCTGATTGACACTTCGGTGACACCTCGACCACGTATCGTCATTCAAAATTGATGTCCCCACACATGTGATCTACGACTATACCCCAATGTATTGGTCAGATCTACCATGTTTTTGATTATGAAATTGGTTGATGTAAATGGGTACCAGAATCTAGTCTAAAACTTTTTAGATGCTGATCCCAAGCTAAGGCAAAATACATGAAAAATATATAGATAGTGAAAATAGAAGGCCCTGTTAATGAAAATTTAATAAGCGGATAAGTGAGTCGTTGAAGTTTATTTTAAAATTTTAATAAATTTTAAAATATATTTTAATTTAATTTATTTATTTAATAAATTGATTCCAAATGAACTTGTAATGAGTCGAGCAGCAGAGACAGAGCCAATGTAGGACCAAGGGAGTCACATGCTCTTGAGTTTTTTATATGGAAAATGTTTCGTAGCTCAAATTTTGTGGCTCAAAAGTGGCTCAAATGGCCAAAACGACGTCGTTTTGGCCACTTTTATGTTGTTCTGTACTCAAAACGACGTCGTTTTGGCCATTTGAGCCACTTTTGAGCCACAAAATTTGAGCTACGTAGCATTGTCGTTTTTATATTTACACTATTTCCCTTACATGTGAAGTTTATATCTAATTTTTTCTTTATAACATTATTATAATGTCTCCTTCTTAAATCGTGTAAAAAAAGAAAAAAAAAATTGTATTTTAAATTTTTTAAAAGTGCTCTATTATATATATATATATATATATATTCCATTCTTTTATACTCTAAACTAAAAAGTTAATGGAAAGAATTGAATTAATTGAATATTTCATTCTTATCATGGGATTTGTTTAGTTTATTATTTTTTTCCAATGTGTGATTTTTTGTTAAGTTGATAGTGTTGAATTTGTTAATCATAAATTCAGTTGGGTTGTTGATTGATTGTGGATTTCTAAGCTATATTGATATAATTCTCACGATAATTGTAATATTGAATCAACAATGGATCTCAAAAATATATATATAAATTTAATAGTATCTCTTTGTTATTTATTGTAGATTTTGCTTTCTTTCTTTCAATAATGTGAGTAATATGTGCCCCATCTGTCTTGAATTTTTGGCTCAACCACTGGAGTGAGTAAGTTGTGTTTTCATATTGCATATAAATTTTAAAAAATGATATGCAATTCCATTTTCTAAACTCATTTTTTTAAATAAAGTGATATGTAAAAAGGATGAATAACTAATAATTAAAAAATATATAAGAGGGATCTGAAAATTAGATCTCATTTTTCGATTAAAATAACAATGTTCATAAGTTGATTGAGTCATATAATAATTATTTAAGTTTAGTTTAAAATTTTAACTAATTCTAAAATATATTAATATTTAATTTATTTATTTTACGAGTCAACGTTGAATGATTTTTATTTTTAATCGAAACATATTCGAGTATCTTTGTACGGTTTACCTTTAATTGAGATAAATTGATGCCTTTCAGTTTGAACATATTTTGACCACCGTCCGAGATTGGATTGCCAATCCTTGTGGGTCCTCTTAATTGGCAAAATTGATTTCGAGAATATTATAACCGGTTTCGATTCGTAGCTCAAATTTTTTATGACTTGAGTAGTTTGAAATTTTAAAATGCAGTTGTTTCAGGATATTTTTTGATTTTTTTATCGGTACGATAATATTTTTCGTACCATTCAAATCATTCGAGCCTCACTTTCTCGAGTTACGGAACATTTTCCTATTATAACAATAGTGATTCGTGGGTTTTTTTTATTTTTTGTTTTTTCTTTTT